TTGACCTTGGATATCAAGATTTACAAGACCCTGCCACAAAACCAAGGAGTGGCCTGCACGGTGGAACCGCCTCTGGCCCTCCTGCCACTCACTGTCTATAAGGACTCTGTCCCCAATACCAGAGTCCCTAGGACACGAGCTGCAAGGGAAGCTTCCTCCTACATCCAGTCTCCACACAGGTACGTGATAATCATATTGTTTTTGTCAATTTTATTTTTTCTTCAATGTTTACAAATAAAAGAATATCTATAAAATCATATATTTTTTTACTTGCATACATTTTCATTATTTATTATTTTATTACAGATAAACATTGATACACTGTGTTTCTAAGACAGCCCAACAGTACCTGCTCACTTGTGAAGTGTCTCTCTTTCATCCATACTCCATACTAAACAAGGGATAGGGGAAGGGTGTATGTCCTTCATGACTCAAACAGCAGTATGTGAATAGAGCTGAACCTCTAGGGATTGGTTTCTATAAAGCATAGAAGTAAAGACTGCAGAGAACCTACAGTCAGCAGATTTTACAGCTTTACCTGTTACATGAATATGGGAAATATACAAATGTGAAATGTCATATTTACCTGAATAAAACCTAAACATAGTTCATAAATTATAAGATACAAGTCTGTACAAAAACACAATACATTCCTTCTAATCTCAAGATAATATAATATTATATCTTTGATTGTAACATGCATGTTTCAAAATCTCTATAACGTGTTTTTTTTTTTTTGGTGAGATTAATTTATCTGCAGTGAATGGTTGGTGAACATCAAATTCACAGTTTTTAAATATGCAACTAAGACTGTATTGCTCCGTGATCATAGGGAAATCTTAGCACGCTTCAAATCCTCGATTTGCCCATTCAGTCTCTCAATCTGTTCTTGAAATGTTAAAGATTAATTGGTTTGTTACTATATTGCTTGTTGATAAAGTTTAGGAATAAGTGAATCTGTGTGGGTTCGGTTCACGGGGTTCACTCCAGTCTGAATATTTCAAACTTAAAAACTCACCCCATTGAAGTTTTTAAAATCAATTATGTCCATTTTCAAAGCTAATATCCAAGGGATTGCAGGGTATGGGGAGATGGGCACTGACAAAAGGGACATATTCCAATCCAAAAAAACTATTTTAACCACTTGCTGACCGGGGTGTTTATACCCCTTCCTGACCAGGCCATTTTTCAGTATTCAGCGCTGCAGTACTTTGACTGACATTTATTCCGTCATGCAACGCTGTACTGAAATGAATTTTATACCATTTTTTGGGGACAGATAGAGCTTTCTTTTGGTGGTATTTAATCACCACTACAGGTTTTTCTTTTTACTGTATAATAAAAAAAGTACCGAAAATTTTGAAAAAAACCCTGTTCTCCCTACGTTATGTTATAAAACATTTATTATTACCCAATTTTTTGGTAAAATATAAAAGACGGGGTCACGTCGAGTAAATAGACACAAAACATGTCAAGCTTTAAAATTGTGCGCACCCGTTAAATCACAAAAAACTACCATACTCAAAATTGATCATAGCCGGCGCTTTAAAAGCTTTTACCGCTCATCAGTTTATTGTTATCAGTGATTGATGACCCTAAAGGGGGACTTAATTTTTTTTAGTGACTTTGAGGACAACGTGAGCAAAGCACCACACTTTTTAACTACAAGTTTGGGAGATGTCTTTAAGCTGTATGGGGTGTCAAAAAATAGTATGATTCTCACATTAAGGTTCAGCAACACTGTAATCTGCATAACATATTATGTCTAACTGATTTTTGTTACCGTTATATCATTGCTTGTCTGCAATAGCAGCAGCACCCCAATCTGGTTCATCATGAATTCACAAACTCACAAAAACGCTTTAAAACCACAACCTCACATTCCATGAACCCTCTATCATCCCCATTTCACCATTTTTGTTAAGATATTTAAAAATATGGACCTCAGATATGAGTTTGTTAGAAATTGTCTAGCATCAGGACAGTACGTAAGCACTTTAATAGGGAGCACATTTCTGCCAGCTATGGCACTGTTGTGGTCTGCAGCCTCTGCATGTAGATTATCAGCTGTGGTAAAAGGTCCAGCCATTTGAGTACTACATGCATGAGGAAACACATGATTGTGCACCACAAAAGCTCGACAGGAGCAGTACCTCAATAAGACAAGTCAAAATCAGCAAAAGGCTCTTCCTCCTAAATTCCCTTCCCCAAATCCTCTTCCAAGGTTGTATTGGCTTTGGGGAGCTGGGTTATTTCTCCCCCACTAGTGGTGAAAAAAGTATAGGAGGTAGTAAATTAGCTGGCAAAATCTTTTCTCTTGTTACTCCTTTCAGATTTAAAGCAGACACTTGCCTGCATGCTCAAAGGCGCATGTTAGCCTTTTTGTTATTTGACCAATTTGTTTTGCACTGAAATCCCTCCCATGTAATCTAGTGGAAAGTCCTTTGTCATTTTTCTCCTCCTCCTCCTCAAGGGGCGGATCATCCATTTTTTGGGCTAGCTAATGTACCATTTTCTCCCTTTCTTCCCCAAGGGTGCATAGAAGAAACGTTTTTAACTGCCAATAATGCACAAATCTCAAACTCCTCTATTGCCTCCAATACCATTTGTTTTTGTTTTGTTTAATTCCTTTTCCACCTCCTTCTCCTTCAGGAGTAGTCACTTGCCTTTCTAGTGCTAAAACATGCACCCCTTTCTTCCTCCTCCTCCATCAGCTAATCCCAGCATATTTTGCCAACTGGCTATGAGGAGTCGGTGGAAAAAATGTTTACCCCCAGGCTGTTTGGCAGACCCCTGCAGTACTGGTGTGGGAACAGAAGAAAAAAAAATCTTTGAATCTCCCCCATGCCAAGCATTGTTATGCCAGTTATTGCCAAACAACCCATTTCCACATGATTAGGTGTTTACATGCATTTAGGTGCATTTAAAGTTTTAAGCAGATCCTGAGCTCAGCTGTGGACACAGCTAAAGTGAATGCAGGTAAATGCAGGTAAACACAATGTCTAAATGATACCACACAAAAAATGCAGTGCATTTTTCAACAGTGCTTATCAACACTGTATTGGACATCCGTGTTTGGCAGCAGCAGCTTCTGCAGCTGCTGCATTTACACAGCAACTCCCAACTTTTCATTTTGACAGTGAGGAACTCCAGTCAAGTGTGAAGGGGGAGCAGAAGAGGGACAGAAGAACAGGATGTGCTAGAGATGTCCTGTGTACTCTAATTACATTTTTGGACTTCTGTAGTACATCCAGTGTTCACAACTGGTTAAGTACTCACACACTCTTCAATGTGCAGATACCACAGAGGGTCCACTATCCATTTTTATGTGACAATCTGGTTGTACCTGCCCTTCAGAAACAGTCTTTTTAACCCAATGGAGACATTTCTTGTGGCCAATGCCATCGCCTCTGCTAGTCAAGTGTCCCCCAGGGCAGTGCTCATATCTCTATGCCCTTTCTTTGACAATATCTTGCCTATTAGAATTTAAACACATATGTACATTGGGAAAATGAACCGCTGCAGCCTAAATTTGAACAAACTAAGGAACAGACTACCAATGTACAAGTAAGAAATACATTGTAATAGGAAATACATATTTTGGGATGATAGGGCAATGACACTGGAGTTAACAAACACAGTAAAGCTCACCAAACACGTCACACTCTGCTTGAAAGATTAAAACTCATTGTTTTTTCCAGTTTTGTTGAAATAATGTTTCTACAATTTTGTAAATTAGCCCTAGTATATTCTATTGCATTCACATGGAAATAGGCATAAAAAAGCATTGGATAGTGGTCATTACCTGTGTTATCTATGAGAGTAAAGTTTGCATTGCTGATTTCTTCAGGTGGTATCATATAATAGAACTGATGGCCGATTACAGGATCTTTATCAAAGGCACTTATGGTTTGTACATGCTAAAACAAGACATCAGTTGGTTAATACTCTTTGTGCAGAAATATGATAAAATGAACACAATACAGACAGTAAGTATACTCTTGAAACCTTAATGTACCCTGAGAGGCAATTAAAATAAGGTGATTGAAAAGATAGATTTACCATGTAAAATAACATCAATGCCTCAATTATATATCTCTTTCAACAATAAGCAAAGTACAAAAATTATTTTGAATCACTGAAAAGAATATGTATATTGAAATCCATAAATTGACTTTTAAAGCCACATGTTTGTAATCTAATGCTTAAAAATCATTTGAGTGCTTTGGCAAATTGATCAGAAAATGCGCAATTTACATTTCAGTTAAAATATATGAATAATGGAAAAATCAAATGGACATATCATGTTGTATCCTCAAACAAAGAATATACACTTTAGTTTGGTCAGTTTATTTTATTTGTACTGTGTTACATTTTATTGATAGTGCAATTACAAAAAAAATGACTGCTTATTTACCTTTACCCTTGCAGATAAGTATATTAACAAAATACACCATTTATTTTACATAAAGCATAGTATACACTAAAACATGAAGTTCATTTTCAAATCAGCATCATTTTAATCATGTCTCGGAATTAGCTTTAACATATTTTACTTCTCCTACAGATCCCCAAGGTTTACTGTCTCTTAAAGAGGCTCTGTCATGGAGGATGGAAGAAGCATATTGAGCAGGTATAATGTACAAACACCCTACTGAACATGCCTGCAGCAACCTCCCAAATCTTCCAGCCATGGTTGAATGCTAGGCCATTTTGACAATCAAAGCTCCGAAGCTTCCAGGTTGAGTTGGAGCTTCCAGATAAGCTCCCCACACATTCCTGTTAGTTTATCACTTATTCCTATTAGCCTCACTGACAAATAGTATTTCACAGAAGGCCAGAAGGGGTGGGCTAACGTCTGCACTATCAGGGCTGGTATGACAGGAAGGTCTAAGAACTAGATGCTCACCAAAGCATGGAAAATGATATGTCATCACATCATTGGAAAATATATAGCTGGCATCATCCCCATTTATACCCAAGTGATAACAAATTACATGGATTTTCATCAAGAATTGTATCTTAAGTGGCCAATCCTCTGCAGCAAGGCTCTGCATCTCTGGTGCAAATCAACAACATTAATATGTTGCTCTCTGGAACAATGGCAGGCTATTCTCATTTGAGGAATCAACAGTCTACTTGGTCACTGATGACCTTCACATACATAGAAATAGTATGCAATGAATGTTGCAGGCCTGACCTTATGCAACTGAACAGGTATGGTGGTTTTTACTACTCTAGTAGAATATAGAAGGTAGGAGATAGATCCACTACTATTTACTCCTCGCCTAGTTATATTTATCTTGCTGGATACAAATTAAATGGATTAAATGTCAGGTTATAAGGGTATGCAATGTACCCTAAACCAAAAGCAGACTAATGCTTTTATGTCACAGTTTATGTTTAATTGTAGAAAAGCAAACATCTATTTGGCTACTATGGAGAACTCTTCTGCTTTGCTTTCATCTAGATTTATACATTTGAAGATGCCATGAAAACTAGTCATAGATAGAAAGACAGGTTAGAAGGCTGTCAAGTGCAGATGTGATCTGATCAAAATGTTTGAAGATGTGGATGCCTTCACTGTACCTCTACAACCACAAAAGCTAATTATTTTGTACATGACAACTTCACTTATAAGCTGATTGCAGTTTTAATGCTTGTGACAATCAAAGTCAGCTTGATAGACATAATCCTGTGTCTTACTAAATTCACCTTCAGAGACAGAATTCATTTAGCCTCTAGCAAAATTAACTAATCATATTCATGTATTAACCTCCCTGGCGGTATTCCCGAGTGTAGCTCTGGGTTACTTTTCCATACCATAAGCGGTAACCCCAAGCTACACTCAGGAATGCCGCATAGCAATTACTTACCTTGTCCCTCGAGCCGCGCTGTGTTCTCCGGCAGATGCCGGCATCCATCTTCTGGGTTCCGTCTCTTGCGAGCATACGTGTTGCAGGGGGGTGGAACCGGTGGGATATTTTTTTTTTTTAAGTGAAAAAAATTTGAACAAAAATTACACAAAAAAAAATCATACTGCCAGGGAGGTTAAAACACAATCAAATTCATAAAATATTTGCATTTCATTAAGGCAATTATTGTGTCTTATTTAAACATTAATGTTGATATATTGTCAGAAATCTGTACTTTTATTATTAAAGCTACAGACCAATATAGGTAGAATTACTAAGGAAAGCAATAAGAAAAAATATCAGCTGATCGAAAGAGCATGTCAGAAAATTGTCAGCTGAACAGAGCTAGCAGCCAATGAGCGGCTGGTGGTCACTGTTAGAATAAAAAGGAAACAGCAAGAGATTCCACCCACAACATACTGTATGTAAGTGTGTTTACCTGACTTAACAGATTTTGCGGGTTTCATGAATCATCAATTTTTGGAATTCCCTTCAGGGAGCTATTGGTGACTGGGAGTGCAAAACGCTCCATTCACACCTGAGCGTTTTGCGTTTGCACGTCAAACGCGCAAAAAAATTCAGCCTCCCCAAACATAGGTCCTTTATTTTTTAAAATAAATCCATTGATGTAATCCAGCGTCAATCACAATGAACGACGCCCGCTGACTCACTAAAGTAAAAAAGTCCCGCTGACCCATCCGAACCTGCTAAAGACTCGTCGAAAAATTAATGTTCGGGATGAATGTAAACAAATGGGCGGAGCGAGCCGTGATGTCATAGGGCTTTTTCCACCCATTTGTTGACATTCTCAGCTGTCATTCATATAATAAAGGCATGGTCTTTGTTCATGAACTGCATTATATTTTAGAATGTTTTAGAATATTTTAGATATTTAGAAAATCCAGATTGTTTAAATGAATTGTGTGCTTCAATGTTTTACTGTAATTCATAGTGTACCAATGAAAGGTGATTTACAAGTGAAAGGCATTTCCCTGTATCAACTTATGTCTACAAGGCTTTATTAGGGAAGCCAACAAAAGGTGTGGAGCTCCAATTTACTTCTGTGTGTTCTTTTGTGTACCATGGTTCTCCTGCCTGGGATCACATTCAGTAAAAGGCCCGGAAACTAATGGTTCAATTCTAATGGATGGATAGGAAATGGAAAAGAGTTATAATAGAGATAAGACAGAAAAGAGAAGGGAACAGAAGAGACAACATGGGGGACAAGAAACAACTTTACCCACTTTTCATTTTGTGGTGCTACAAGCCCCATAATATTTTAATCTAGATGGCCAGTGTGCCCTGAATATTTTAGGATCCTTGATTCTCCCTTTATAAAGATCAAAATATCAGGTTAGGAATCATGTTATTTGTCATGGCAAAAATGCATTTTGGGTTATCATGAAAAAGATCTTACTTTTTTCTCTGCATTGAAAAATAATTGCATATTAACTAAGATTTAGCTAATTCTACGTAAGATTTATTTTGGTTACATAGACAAATAAACATCCTTTTCTTTAAATGGTATTTTATACACTAAGAGAATCAAAATAAAAACCTTAACACCCTAAGCTACTTTCAAGAAATTAAATTAACTCACACAGTATAACCCTGATTATAGGATTATATGTCATTGACTACTGGGATTTTCCTCATCAACCACAGTTCATTTCACCAATTGACATTGCTGTATTCTGAAAGATTTAACTAACCTATGTTTACTGCTCCTCTCATGGCCATAACCAGTTTGTAAGGTACCTTTGCAACTGAGACAGATTAACACGAATGTGTCAGCACCATTGTGAATACTCTTTTTACTAGAAGAAATACACCTATTCTCCATCATAACATCATATTATTAAACTATGTAAAATAACTCTAAAATGAATGTAGTTTTTTCCCCACAGTGTTGTATTATCTTTGTTTAAAGTGAAAAAGTTCAAAAGCCTTGAAGAACAGTATCTTTGTATGCTTGCTGTATTTAGTGTTACTGTGAGAATATGTGAGAACTAAAATCACTTCTAGCAAATATATGTCATTATTATTGTTATTCTATCATTATTTTTAATGATAATTTCCATAGTTTCATCACCTCTGTGCTGCATAGGTGTGTCACCTATGCAGTACAGGGGTGATGAAACTATAGAAATTATCATTAAAAATAATGATAGAATAACAATATTAATTACATATATTTGCTAGCAGTAATTTACAGGCTGGACAATACTGATAAGACGATACAAAAAGCATATACAATTACATGTGCATAGTTACAAGCAAAATTAGCAAGATAAAGTAGGGAAGATGTATATCATACCCATATAAGCTTATTGCCTATAGAAATGAGGAATTCGAACAAGAGGTATTGGAATCAGTAATCTGTATGTAATATCACAGTTTGTGCCTTGTCAGATGGTAGAACAAATAGCAGTATTGTTAATATACGGTTGGAGACCCTTAACCACTTTTTGAAGCAGTATAAGTTGCTTTCCATGGGAAATGTAAATAGAAATGTGGTTTCCTCAAGCAAAACCCGAATCCAAGGTAATAGTACAAAAATAAGTAATTACACCAAACAATAAAGTTTAAGATAAGTATGTTGTATTAATAATTTCAAAATAGAAAAAAATAATACATTTATTATAGCATGTATAAGGGATCCCTCCACGGTGGTCACTAACGTGCACAGTAGTGGCCTTTTTAATGGTAGTCAGTGCTAATAAGCAAAACATAGGACAGATGGGGGAAAACAAACCCTTGCATATCAACATACTGTATATGTAGCATGGAAATATAACAACAAAAGTACCAAAAAGAAGTAGCAAACAAACTTAGACACCAAGCAGCAGGGTGGAGCTGGAAAAACCAAACAAACAAAGTTTTGGAGCGAAAACCCCTTTAAGTGAAATAAACTGAGAGCACATGGAGAGGAAACTGGTTAACATGGAACAAAATGGACACAGAAGCAGTACTGGACAGTGACAGAAGAGAATATCAAGGGCCAAATTATACTTATGCATGAGTGGAGACATTTTAAAGCTAAACTGCAGACAAACATCTATGCACAGATTAAATACATATATGGGGACAGGTTTATCTAACAAAATATTTGTTGTTTTACTTTCTATCCAGTACTGAGATTTACACATCCCTGCACCAATGAATAAACAGGTATATGGCATCATGTTCTTTCTCTTTACCTCAAGACAGCTGATTGGGCAGAGAGAATAGCAAGAGACTGGTGATATTATCTTTCTACTTACTCTATCTTTCTACTTACTCTGCTATTTCCTGCTATCCTCATGCTTCATTTGCTCACCTGGTTGACTGCCCTGTTTGCAAGAAGCTGATAGCAAGCTAATTTAATTGCTCACACAGGTTGTATTTAAAATAAAATAAATAGTATAGTAATGCATACCTGGCTGCATTAGTTTCTCTTTATATCTGGAGCTCAACTTTAAGATAATATTTTTGAATATACCAAAGTTTAGCACACCTGGTAAAACAATAATCTTCATAGAATTGAATAACTACTGACTCATTAATACTGAGGGACCCATTGCATGATTTGTGTAAATGGCAATCAGTTTACTGTTTGAGTAAAGAGAAAGTTGGGAGATATTTAAGCAGACCAGCTTTCTGTTAGATGCCATCAAGTTTTGACTAACTTTCCAATCAACTAAAAGTGATGTGAAAAGAATATAATAATAATGAGAACAATTAGAAAACTTTCCAACAGTTTGCTTGTCAGTAGTGTCATTGCAAGTATGTTTGTATGAATACACATTACAAATGTTGGTAGAAGTTCTGAATTATCCCATAAAGACTGCATATAAATATCTATAGAAAGGTAGCTATTTCTAAAGAGCATCCTAGCCACAAAAGCTTCCAGTAAGTTGTTTGTGAATTTCGATGCGAAAGTTGACGTTTGATGTTAAGACAAAGATAACAAGGTTAGGTTTGGCTTTTAGAAAACTTCAGCAGCTGTGTTATTGATTGGATCACAATCTAATTGCCATGAATTGTGTTATTTCAGGACTCATTAAACTGGAAGCTTTGGAAAGAGAATTTCAAAATCAAGCTCCTTCCGAGAAATAAAAAGTGAATAAAATACAGCTTTTGAAAGTAAAATGCAAGGGTTCTGAATTTTTAATAGGTATTAGTTTAATGTTCCATTAATTCATATTAAGCAAAAAATATAGTACAACATCTTCTGTAAATATTGTAGAGTAACTTAGAAACCGCAAGAGACAGTTTCTAAAAAAATAGGAGAACATGTTTGATTGCACTTTATGTACCCATCCTATGCCATCCAGAGTGGAGTACTGTTATGTCTATGGGTAAAAAACAGAAATCCCCCTAAGAACAGACAATCTGCTGGGTTTTTGTTTGACATAGTGAAATAAAGTATATGATATTTTAAAGGGTCCCTTTCATGTCACAGAGTTTTACTATACATTGGATGATGAGGGTTGCCGGGAGCCTTGTCCACCGTGCACCAAGGTCTCTATACTGTGTATTTGGACAAGTGCAGGTAGAGCTGTGATGTGTGTGCTGTGTTTTACTTTGTCTTTCATTTTTAAGGCTATGTCCCTTGTTTGTCTCCAAGACTGATGCTCTAATGGGTATTTGACAGCTCTTCTGAAGCACATTTAAGTCCAATTAAATCCTCTAGCCTGTCTGAATATACAGTAATATATTATAGGGCAGTTTTATTTTTTTGGACAGTTAAGTGCTACAGCAAAGGTTAAATCACCTAAGGTATTATTAAAATGTTAAAATGTAGTATATATATACACACAACAATAAAAGTAGCATCCCCTTATTCATGTAGAGAAAGGGACCGTTGTCTAAATTTTTATAGACTTTGTCACTGAAACATGTGTCCCTATTGGAAGATTTACCCTAAACTCTTCCGTTTACTACTGTGAAATTCTGGATTTTACCCTCTCATACCTAGGCATCGCCCTGACTAACTCCTATACAGTGGCGTCACAAGGAGAGGTGTGGGGGGTGACACCAAAATGACTGCCAGTCATTTTGGTGTCACCCCCTCTAAACAGTCGGGCACTCGGTCATGAACCGAGAGCCCGGCAGTGTCAGGGGAGACACGGTAGCATACCTTATCCCGCTGGGTGAGCATCCCCTTCTCTCTCTGCCGGCATCCATCAATAAAATGGCCACCGGCAGGTGTCAATTAGATGACCACGCATGCGTGATGACATCATTACGTATGCGCGTGGTGATGTCACGCGTATGTGCGATTACGTCACATCAAGGTTTTACCCGGTCTCCGCTCTGGGTGATACCCAGTCTCGGGACGCCCCTATACTCCCAATTTAGATACACACTCCCTTACCAACCAAATGTGAAAAACACCCTATTTCATGACTGGAAAAGATCACAGCAATAAAAAAAACCTTGCTTTCTAAATTGTTGTATTTCTTGCTTGTCCTTATAGTCTGAATTCCTTCCCGTGTACTTCAGCTCGAGAAAACAAAATCCCCCATTTTATATGGGTCTCTAAGAAACCTAAAGTTAGCCAGCAGACTCTCTACAAACAAAAACACCAATGGGTTCGGGAAGCTTTTCAACTTTCTAGCTATTACCATGAAGCCCATAGCTTCTAATTATCCCTACTTCATGTCTTTTCAAATGTCCCATTTTGGGCTAGTTTCGAAATGATCTAACCCCACCAATTTAAATGATCAATGTATTGTGGCTCCCTCTATCCCTGAGAAAATATTCATCTAATTCAGTTTATTCCCACTCTCTAAAGGTTTTGGACAATATCAAATATTCCAAGATACTGATGTCTCCCCGCTTGTCCCTCACTTCATTCCTGATCTGACTGAGGCCTTATCTGTTGATAAGAAACAGGCCTATTTGTCTGGTATGCCCTACAGAGACCTGAGCTGCAGTGATGGGTAATGACCAGCAGCATGAACATACACACACAAACACACACATAAACACACACACACACACCTAACTATGTATGTAAACAAATATAAACAATATAAAAAAGTCCAGTCTATCATCACCCTTGAACGACTTCATTTATTAATTTCAACTCATGGCTTTATTTTAAAATATTGTTTTCTCTTCTTTCTAACATAAAAATAATAACTTTTCAGGAATGGTTCAATGGTCCTAAAGTATTTGTTTATGAGAAAAACGCTAATATAGATAGATACAGAATAAATAAAATATTACAGAAAAAAGTTGTGCAAAATGGAAATTCTTAATAATAATCTTATTGACAAATGTATGTGGTTTACAATATGGAATCAATATTTTATTAATTATTCTATGTTTTAATTGCATCACGGTGACAGTGGTTTGTATATCACTGAAATCTGCCATAGGATTTTCTGATAGCATACCAGCAATAATGACCTAATAATATTTAATTATGAAAATCTAGACTGATTAGCATCACCAAAGTCTTAGAAAACCCAAAATACAGCAGAAAGAGAAATAAAGTATGAGCTGAACTGCATTTTTTCTTCAATATTTTAGGCATCTACATTTTATTGTTATTAATGATATACATGTAATTTCTACTCCAAAGTTTGCATATTATATAAAACATGTGAAGAAAGGTTGCATGCCTCACCTCTCCTGCTTTTGTTTTCTCACAAACATATATATCATACTCATTTTGAAGTTCTGGAAAATGATCATTTACATCAATAACTTGGATATACACTTCTACCACTGATACATGGGCAAGATGCTCTGCAAAGCAAATACAAAGGATAGCATTTTTTTCAATTGAAAAAGGAATTAATTGAGAATAATTTAAAGCAACTCGTATGCTTACATAAAAGTGTAATCCAGGAATAATGTATATAATTACCTTTCCCACTGCCCACACAGCTGAATGCAGCTTGGGTAGTGGGAGAAGGAATCTTCCCCTGAAGTTCTCTTTAGAAACCAACATTTCTGGGAGTATTGATTTCATGGTCCTCCACTGTGCTCAGTAGTTTCTCCCACCAAGTTCTACATCATTATGGAGTTTTGTAGGTATGCAAGAATCAGCAGGAGGAACCACTGATTGCAGTGGGAAATTAAATACTGACATTCTCTGTGGTGTTGGCTCCTTAAATTACTGCTGGAGTTGCGGCGGAGAGAGGAGCCACCAGTGGAGATCCATCTACTACCCTACAAGACCAGCACAGGTACAATGTTCATGCACCAGCTACTGAGTGATGACAGGAAGTGAAAGAAGAAGCATTTATGGATAGAAAACAGGCACAAGAGGATGAGAAGGTGTATGGGGCATATAGACATATGTTTAACCCATTTAGTGCCAGTGGACAAGAGTGAGAGAAAGGTACCTCTTTGGAAAGTTGGTGAGGTTCATCTGTAAAAGGGTGAACAACACTGATTGGTAACTGTGGCTAAGTGTTTTTGAGCACAGTGGGAGCGTGGAAACACTATCGGTGAAGTTACATGGAGGTGTTTGTTACACATGTGTTTAAGATGTCCGTACACTTTATTGAGTGGAATGCACAGTTGACTTTGCATATTAATTGAAGAGTTTTTCACTAATTAAATTGTGTATTTAATCACTATTATATGGATGATTTTAAGTGCATGTATGCACTATTACACTCACCTAATATAACACATGTAGAGTGTATTAGGCACAGTGCATTGTATATATACTTGGCTTCTTAAATCGGCTTTGGGAGACACCTCTTCTTTATCAGTAGGAACCACCCTGAAAGGCATTCAGTGGCTTTCTTTTTTGCAGTTATGTCTTTTGTTTAAGAGTTCTTTTAACCAAAAAATTTTATATATCAACAACAATGTGATGGTGGGGAAAAAATAATAAAGTATTAAATATTCCGCAAAATATCACTCACGTGCCTCAGTTGCTGCTATGGTAATATTATGCCAAGGATCAGTTTCCCTATCCAGAGGTTTACTTGTGATGATGGATCCATTGTTAGAAAAGATTTCAAAGGATGATGAATAGCTATTTTGAAGAATTTCGTATCTATTAACATAAAGCAGTTAGTTAACAATGGACATACATTCATGACTGTATGTATTAATTTTCTTCCCCCAGTCACTTATGCATTAGAAAAGTATTTTACCTAATTATTCTGTTGGCAATATCAGGGTCTTTTGCAGTTACTGTACCCACATGTGAACCAACTGTAGCATTTTCAAGGATTTCCATATAGTATTCTTTCCTGAGAAACACGGGAGGTTCATCGACATCTACAACATAAACCCTTATGGTGGCTGTATCATTTAATTCAGATTTGTATTTATTTTCTGCCCTTACTTGAATGTGATATCTTCTGATTGTCCTTTCAAAGTCGACAAGCTAAATAAAAAAAAATACAGAAAAGCATATTAATTGCAGTTCCTCTCAATACTTTTAGATTGTAAGCTCTCACAGGCAAGACCCTCCTAACTGTATTGTAATGGTAATGTCTTCTTTGTATTGTAAACTAATGCACAAAATGTTGGGGCTATATAAATCATTATAGCAAAATACTTTCTTGTATTAAAAGAGGTATAGACTCCAGAGATAGCGACATTATCCTACCCCTGTGCAAAGCATTAGTAAGACCTCATCTGGAATATGCAGTTCAGTTTTAGGCGCCAATTCACAAAAAGGATGTTGTGGAACTGAAGAAAGTGCAGCGAAGGGTGACTAAACTCATAAGAGGCATGGAGGAGCTCAGCTATGAGAAAAAGATTAGCTAACCTGAATGTGTTCTCTCTGGAGAAGAGGTGATTAAGGGGAGTCATAATCACCATGTATAAATACAAAAATGGTCCATATAGTGAGCTTGGTGCCAAATTATTCACTTTAAGGTCACTGCAAAGGACAAGGGGGCACTCTTTGCGTCTGGAGGAAAACAAATGTAACCTTTGCATACGGAAAGGATTCTTCACAGTTAGAGCTGTGAAAATGTGGAATAGACTCCCCCAGGAGCTAGTTCTAGCTAGCTCAGTTAATAGTTTTAAAATACATCTGGATGTATTCTTAAATGCACAGAATATTACTGGATATTGAGTTCTTATAGGTATATTAAGCATCAGAGATAGTTGATCCAGGGAATATACAATTGCCTTATGGGATCAGGAAGGAATTGTTTTCTCCTGTTGGAGCAAATTGAACCATGCTTTATAGCCATGATTTTTTTGCCTTCCTCTGAATCAACAGGGGGTATGGGTGGATCAACAAGGGGTAGCTGTGGGCAAAGCGTTGTGTTTAGGTTTTTCTTCTCTTTTTGTGTTTTTTTTCTCCATATCTCTATAGGTTAAACTTGATGGACTTTTTTTTTTCAACCTGACAAACTATGTAACTATGTAAGTATAAAAGTAGAACCACTATTTAGAGATTTTCATAGAAAAATCCATAGTAATCAACTTTCATGCACTTGCATGCAGTAACCAGCTTTGTCTGTGCACTTTTTACGTTGTGCAGAGCAGTTCTCAGGAGCATTTACATCTCCTGCACCCCAGACTACGATCTCCTCTCTTGTCCTGTTCATCTTGGAAGGAGTGAAGCAGGAGGGATGATGGAACATCTGCTTAGAGCCTCTCTATGCTCTATACAGCAAATAATTGTTGCATGAAGTCAATTACTGTGGATTGCTGGACTATTTTGACATAAAAAGGGCATGGTAAATTACTGTTATATTGTATTCAAATTTGCCTTTAGTTTGCTCTGCTTTTCCTGCACACAGGTGCACTTTAAGATAACTAAGTGACCAGCTCTTGGAACAGCAGCTCAAGACACTATCTGCATGGTTTCCTCCCACATTCCAAAAACATACTCATAGGTTAATTGGCTTCCTACAAAATAAGCTCTAGTGTGAGCTTGACTTGTGTTGGTGACATTAGATTGGGAGCTCCCTCAGGGGCAGATAACTGGTGTGAATGGTTCCATGAACTCAGAAATCAGTGCGAAAAATTTTAGAAATACAGATGACCATTTACAGGTGAAACTCGAATAATTAGAATATCGTGCAAAGTTCATTTATTTCACTAATGCAACTTAAAAGGTGAAACTAATATATGAGATAGACTCATTACATGCAAAGCAAGATAATTCAAGCCGTGATTTGTCATAATTGTGATGATTATGGCTTACAGCTCATGAAAACCACAAGAACCCCAAATCCACAACCTCGAAAAAGTAGATTATTACATGCAATCAATAAAGCAAGGATTGTACATAGAACAATATCGGACCTCTGAAAAGTACAAGCATGCATATGTACTCAGTACTTGGTTTGGGCCCATTTTGCAGCACTTACTGCAATTACTTTTGCACGATATTCTAATTATTCGAGTTTCACCTGTATTAATACCTGTATCCTTACAGACTTTCAGCTGAGAAAGCTTTTTGTCCCTATTATTTGTTAAAATTTAGATTCCATTTGACTAAATAGACTAAGCTGCCCTTCATGAAAAAATTGCACAAAGTTTCTATTTTTTTTAAATAATGTAATCTTTCTTAAGTTCAAACATTTAAAAAAAAATTCTGCAACACTAATATACTTAAAAAAATGAAACACTTACATACTGTACTTTGACATATTTGGGTTAATTTAATGGGAATGCTTCAGAAGGCTGATTAGATAATTCAATAAATGGGCTAATTAGATTTTAATGCAATATATCTTAATTGACATAAAAAAGACTGTTTAAGTCAAGTATAGCTGACTTTCAGAGCAATTGTTTCATTTTCATTTAATGTCTTTTACTTTTCAATGCACTATATATAGTCTACACAGCATGCATCACTTTTATGAAGACAAATACTGGATATTTTGCATAAATAAGTCTGTGACTAGTGATGAGAAAATCCAATTTGCCAATGTTAGATTTTACAGATTGGCCATGTGCGTTGTGAACATTTTCATCTTTTGATCTGCTTTTCATGTGACAGTTGGTAAAATGGCAACCTCTAGTTATTATCTAAAAAACAATAAAGATAAAAAAATACGTAGTGATCCCTTGCTAAAAGTTTTCACCTTGCACTGTAATGCAATAGGCATGGAGGTATCAGTCTCTGGGATTGAGAGTTTATGAGAAATTAATCAGCACCAAGCTAATTTTTACCACTCCTAGAGCCCAGCAATTATATCCTTCAGTGTGTTACATTTATATTTTACTATACAATCAGAGAGCAGATTGATAGGGTGTTGAGCCTTGACATAGAAACAAAGATCTTTTGCCATGTAAAAACAATAGCATTTAATTATATTCAAGAGCTGACCAGGTGCACAGAGGTTCCACATCTGAGCATTATTAAGCAGCATGAAATATGCAATCGGTATTATCCAATTTATTATACAGTTATGGATCAATAATTCTGTAAAATGTTTCAGGCAAAAAACAACCTTCCAGAGATGCTTAAAGTGACATTAAACCCTCAGATTTTTTAACATAAAACAATACTGTAATGTGTGCCTTACTGTAATCCATGGTAGTTTCCCTTCTCTTTGCTGCTCTTCCGTTTAAATCCTCATGTCTTTTCGTGCTTGGGGAGAACTTCCCTTTGCAGCTGAGTGCCTCTTCCTGTAGTGCTGGCTCAGGTTGCAAGCCTACACACAGACACCATGGGGGTGATTTACCAACCTAAACACATGCACGCACCAGGTGCGTGTGATTTTCACCCAGCAAAACGTATTTATCAACCAAAAAGTCTCTAAAAGCATATTTCCACTAATGCCATATATGGAAAAATCATGCACATGATGCATATATAATGCTGCTTCACAGTTTAGACAAAATTGGTTAGCTCATGCATTTACATTCCTGCATTCATCAACGCAAGCAACACAACATAGAGCTAATTTAAACAACATCACCTTGTAATTCATGCAGGGCTTTGCACAACACACCTGCTGGGTGTGTACACACTACAAAGGTGTTCAGATTCCACCCATAGATCATGCTGGGAGGGAACACACTACAGAGGTGTATACATGTTCGTGGTGTGTTTATAAGGTTAGTAAATCAACCCCCATGTATCCATTCCAGAGACAAGGCAGTCTGCTGCAAAACAGAAGTTCTGCCCAGCATGAGAACAGATACAGATTTAAAAGGAAGAGCAGCAAAGAGAAGGGAAACAACCATGGATTACAGTAAGGCACACATTACAGTATTGTTTTATGTTAAAAAATCTGAGGGTTTAATGTCACTTTAACCGAATAAACCAACAACTTATATATACATAACATCCACAATAACTGAAAACATAGCTGAAACTGAGGAGGGCTATAGGTTGCCCAAAATGTCTTGTTCTTTTATAGATCAGAGTGTGCATAATTAAGGTTATTATCCCAACATGCAGATTTATGCTCCTGGATGTTTGTATGGCATGCTGAACCTTGACCCCTTCTTTTTCTTGATTTAGGAGACTAAAAAATAGATAGCCATTCACTGAGGGGTTTTAGTTTAGCATACTTTAGTGCTTCCAAGTGACAGGCTACTTCCTGTAAAAGGATAGGTATGCAGGTTTTAACCGTTTAACCGTAACTGCCAAGGACGTACGATATACGGAGGTACAAAAGTGCTTCTGGCTGGCCAGCTCAGTATGCCCTACGGACCTGGCATTTACAGTTCTACTATATACAGTTCTACTCATGGTCGCTTTAGCGACCATGAGCTTATAGTAGAATTGTTCCCCGGACTGTCCCCTTCAAATTAATAGCTGTCATTTCTATTCTGCTCGGTACCTCTGTGGTACCGAGCAGAATAGAAAAAGTAGAAAAAAGGAGAAAATGATTGGGCGGAGTTAGCAGTGACATCTAGCTCCGTCCAACTGTTTTCTACTCTGAACTGTCATTACACACTGAGAACCCGGCGGAGCCGCCTGTTATCATGGCAGCATTGCCGGGTTCTAAGTGTGTAATGACAGTTCCACGTCCCCTGGTGAATAGGTAACCAGGAGATTCTGAACTGTCATTACACACTGAGAACCCGGCGGAGCCGCCGTGATATCATGGCAGCATCACCGGGTTCTCAGTGTGTAATGGCAGTCCAGCGTCCCCTGGTTACTAGATAACCAGGAGATGCTGAACTGTCATTACACACTGAGCACCTGGCGGAGCCGCCGTGATATCACAGCGGCTCCGCCAGGTTCTCAGTGTAATGACACATCAGCGTCTGTGGTTAGCTGCTAACCAGGGGACACTGATTTTTCTCTGAATGCAAGTGGCCAGAGCCAACCGTGAGATAACGGCTGGCTCCGCCAAGCTGTCAGTAGCACGTTGTCGGACGGCCGTTCCAGCTTCGGCTTTCACCTTGGCTCAGTCGAGCCGAAGCATATGCCTTCGGCTCGACTGAGCAGCTTGGCCAACTTCGGGAGCTGTACGGGCTCAACTGAATAGCCCGTACAGCAGCCCTTCGGTTTTACATCACAGCCTGTTCATTCATTAATTTCTGATTGGGGAGTAGCACTCACTATGGAGGCTTCTTCCCATTCATGAACTGCTTGATAGTAAATATTTTACTATCAGCAGTTTCTGAATGAATGGGAAGCCTCTGTACTGAGTGCTTCCCATTCATTGAGTGCTGAGGCTGCAGAAAAAGAAATTGAGGATTTGGTGTCCTCAATTTCTTTTTGTATTTCAAAAGGGAAATGTCAGGGATCTGTTTAGACCCCAGAGATTTCACCGTAGCCCCCCCCTCCCCCACAGTAAAAAAATAAATACAAAATTATTTTTAAAAAAAAATAAAAAATAATAAAAATTAAAAAATAATTACAAAAATGTAAAACAAAATAAAATTATTTTTAAAAATTAAAAATGTGTAAAAAAAACTAATAAAAAAAGAAGAACCCCTTTGGGCCTACAAATTTAGTATCACCATCTTTTTATTCTACCGGGCCTGCGCTTTCAGAAAATATATGGTTTGGGGGGGGGTATTTTACAAACTTTAGCAACGTAGCAGTTGAAAATCAAATCAATAGGAAAAAAATGCAAAAATGGCTTGGCCAGCTGATTTGAAAAATGTTCCGGAGGGCTTGGCAGCGAAAGGGTTAAACATCAGCCCAGTACTGTATTTACAAAAGATGGTATCAGCATAGCATTGGGTTCACAGGAAACCTGGTAAAAACAATAGCTAAGTGTATGCTAAAAAGCACTTTTTTATTGCAGAAACAAATGGTGGATCTGAGCATGTTAAGTTGGTTTTGTGAAGTGCATTCATGGCAATTTTTTTAATCAAATTTAATTTAATAAATACATTTACATTAAATAACCCAGTTTTTCTTCCTAATATACTAATACCCTAGAAAGTCTTTTATCTTGAAAGTTCTTTATGTGAAAATAACAACCAACATTAATATCAATTTGATTTAAAGAAACACTTACCTTGTTTAATGTTATGATGCCCTCTTGTGTTATGTTATCAGTGGTTATATTAAACATGCTAAAATGACCCTTTTCTTCAATAGAGTATGTGATTTCTGCATTCTTTCCAAGATCAATGTCATCAGCCAAAACCACTCCAACAATTTCCCCTACTGAGGCTGATTCTATGATAGACATGTCATATATTTCTGCAAAAATAAATGTTTTGGGGGTATAAAAAAATAGATATAAAATATGTGAAATGGTATCATATATTATGTCATATTAGAAAATAATGCTACATGCTTATATAAAAATATTTTTTGCAACATTCACTGTTTGGCCATATATTGTCTCATTTTATGGTTACTCTGTGTTGGACCATAAATGTTATTTCACAATGAGATGAAATTCTCTATTAACATGAGTCTAAGGGGGTAAGTTAAAAAAAGTTGGCATTTTACTCCCAAAAAAATATATTCAAGCAATAAAAAAAATGTCCTAAATTGTACACTTCAATGCAGTAACATAATAGGGGTCCTTTCTCATAGCTCCCAGTTTTACCAACAGTGGGACGGTCACCCTGCAGCTATTTGCGGTCGGAAAAATCATGATAGCCTCCATATCTGAAAACAAGCTTAAGTGCCCACGCATGTGCGTGTGCATGGTCCTGCATACAGAATTTTGTATGGTGATACCTTGCTGTCTGCAAATGACTAACTTTGCCTATTTTTACTCCATCTCTGCCGCTGACTGCTTGTTGCTAACCTCAGCTTGTTTCTTGAACTTATCTCACTGATGAACTATATGTCATCACTTCGATCTCTTGGGGATCTTTGCTAAAAGTTACTGTGATGTCAACATCATCCACTGGCACTGGGACCATCCATAGTCCTGTCACCATATAACGTTTTGCTTGTGTAATATCTTCATGCTATATTCTGATATATGGGAATATATTTAAACCATTAATTGTGTGTCTCTGTATATTACAACTCCCAGCGTCTCAATTCTGTTACTATGACTCTTACTACTAAAAAGGCCTGGCCATTTTATTTCTATATTGCATCTCACAAAGGTTGTTAACAGCAACATTTTTTAGATCCTCCAATCTGGTTGCACTCCATGTACATTTGTCAGGTGTGATGACCAATTGGGGTGCCTTATATTAGCCACTGTACAGAAATGGAAAGATATAGAAGGCATTGTTACCAAGTCATGTGCTCTCTTTTTCTTGGGACACAAAATATTCAGTATGAACAGACATAAAGATGAGAGGTACAATGACACCTATCTTGTACTATGCACTGTCTCATAAATATTGTTCTGTGTGTTTTTTGTAAATATAAAGTAACCCTAACAATAAATGTATTTGCCTACTGAACTAATTGTTTTGTACAAAAATTCTCAGATCTAGGTGTGTTTATGTGAATAGGGACTGTTGAAAAAGTGAATATGTAATTATATTCCAATCACTACACTTCCCTTCCTCCTATTCAGGGGTGTTTGGAATGGGACAGTAAGAGAGCCCACCCTCATCATCTCAGGCCCCCTATTCAGTTATGTAACATCTACATTTAAAGAACTAAATTAATTTCCACTCTGAAATAAATGTGTTACTTGCTTAGCACCCTGTTGTAAAGGTAAAATATATTATTACAGCTCCTGCTACCAAAAAAAAGAAGAGAGCTGTGTGGAAATGCACTTGTTCTTGGGATGCAGTAGGCATGGAATGCAGTATAACCCAGATGCTCTAGGTGCCTTCACTTTACATATGCAGAAGCTTTCCACCCTTACTCTGTTGACAGAATGTCTTTAGTTATAATTTGTTCCATATTTGAAAACTGAAAGGTAGGGGGAAAGAATGCATGAGACAGTTAAAAGCACTTCAGACATGTGGATGACTTAATGTGACTTCAGATGTGTACATGACTTTATGTGAACAACACCTCCGCTTTATTTCTTTTAAATTTTAAATGGGGCTCAGACAGGACTTATTTAAGGTTTCATACTTCATTAGGTCTAAATCCAAATGCCCAAGTATGACGAATAATACCTACACCTGCATAATTTACTTACTTTGTTGAAATTTTGGTGCATTGTCATTAATATCAGACACCTGAATTGTTACAGTTGCTGTGGCTGAAAGTGCCCCTGCATTACCAATCATATCTTTAACTTGTACGATAACATGGTAGTGATCCTTGGTTTCTCGATCAATTTGTGAAGCAACACGAATAATTCCTAGAAAAAAAACACAAATCAAACAGAAATCTCTCGTTTCAAGTGCACCATCATTCAGCATTTGAAAAATAATCTGAAGTGTCTGCTCAAAATGTTAATGATAAAAATATTGTTTACATCTCTACAATACAATCACATTACCTGATTTTACCCTTTAAAAATGCTGCAAATTCAGAAAACTACCCGTTGAATTGCCATACTCTTTACAAATGCTGAAAATTCAGAAAACTACCTGTTGAACTGCCAAAAATCTACTGTGTTCCTAAATCATGATTTTACAATCGGGGCCGACACTACCGTAAGGCTGCAGAGGCAGTTGCCTTAGGGCACTGGGGGGGGCAGAAAAAGCCTTGCACCAACCCTGATAACAGGCAGTAGTTTGTGCCCAAGTGCCGCCTATCAGTCTGTATTTTCAATCAGGGCTTTAGTTGAATGATGGTGCCTAGCTGCGCTCTAGTCTATGGCTCATTCTTTGCATATGCTCCCCACCCCTAGCTCAGCTAGGCTGCGGAAGTAGCAGGGCAAACATGGCAGTGCCTTGCTCAAGCTGGTGATGGGCCTGGGGAGTGATAAGGAAAAGCTCTGTCCTGCCCCCCATAGGGGTGGGCCAACCCTTGGATCTATAAGCAGAATGCAAAGGCCAGGAAGGCTGCACGTTAAGTGGCTGCCATACCTGATCGGCCGGAGGCCTGAGCTGTTGTGTGGGACAATAACCCTGCGCATCATGGCTCTTGGGATGACAGATAAAATATATAACAGTGTGGCAAAAAATTATTTGATCCCCTGCAGATTTTTTAAGTTTGCCCACAAGAAATGAGAGGTCTATAATTTTTTATCATAGGTGTATTTTAAATGATAGAGACAGACTATCGACCAAAAATCCAGAAAAAGTACATGATACAAATGTTATAAATTGATTTGCAGTTCAGTGAGTAAAATAAGTATCTGATCCCCTACCAACCAACAATAATTCTTGTTCCCACAGACTGGCTATGTGGTACACAGATTAGTCCTGTCAATTTAAGAAGGTGCTCCTAACGACAACTCATTATGTATATGTTGCTTGGAAAACTGCAGTTTCAGCTCCCTCCATAAATTTTCTATAGGATTAAGCTATGGAGACTGGCTAGGCCACTCCATGACCCTAATGTGCTTCTTTTTGAGCCACTGCTTTGTTGCCTTTGCGGTCTGTGTTGGGTCATTGTCATGCTGAAAGACTCATCCACGACCCATCTTCAGTGTTCTGGCTGAGGGAAGGAGGTTCTCATCCAATATTTTACAATACATGGCCCTGTCCATTGGCCCCTCAATGCAGAAAAGTCAGCCTGTACCTTTAGCAGAGAAACAGCCCCAAAGCACAATGTTTCCACCTCTGTGCTTGGCTGTAGGGATGGTGTTCTTAGGGTTATAGTCAGCATTTTCCTTCCTCCAAACACAGCGAGTTGAGTTAATGCAAAAGAGCTCACTTTTGGTCTCATCTGACCACAGCACTAGCTCCAAATCCTTCTCTGAATCATTTAGATGTCCATTGGCAACCTTTAGATGGGCCTGTACATGTGTCTTCTTGAGGGGTGGAACCTTGTGGGCGCTTCAAGATCTCAACCCATGGTGTTGTATTGTGTTACCAATGGTTTGTTTGGTAACTGTTGTCCCAACTGCCTTGAGATCACCAGCTCCTCCCGTGTAGTTCTGGGCTGATCCCTCACTTTTCTCATGATCATCCTTACCCCATGAGGCAAAATCTTGCATGGAGCTGCAGACCGAGGGTGATTGATGGTTATTTTGTATTCCTTCATTTGCGAATAATCGCTCCAACAGTTGTTTCCTTCTCACCAAGTTTTGTGCTGATAGTCTTGTAGCCCATTCTAGCCTTGTGCAGGTCTACAATCTTGTCTGTACCATGCTTTGACAGCTCTTTGGTCATGCCCATGGTGGTGAGGTTTGAACAGAAGAAAGAGATTCTGTGGATAGGTGTCTTTTATATACATAACGAGTTGTCGTTGCGGTAGCAATGCAGAATAATATGAAGCTGCATACTCTGTGTTGCTCCAGGTTAATGGCCTGATGTCTCCAGGGTCTCAGGAGGGCTGTGTGGGGTTTCAAGGGGGGGCTGTGCAGGCTCTCAGGAGGCTATTCAGGCTCTAAGGTGGCCAGTGCAGGCTTTCAGGGGGGCCAGTGTGGGCTCTCTGGTGTTCAGTGCAGGCTTTCAGGGGGGCCAGTGCAGGCTCTTGGTGGTCAGTTCAGGCTCCCAGTGGTCAGTGCGGGTTCCAGGTGGTCAGTGTGGGCTCTGGGTGATCAGTGCGGGCTCTTGGTGGTCGGTGCAGGCTCTGGGTGGTCAGTGTGGGCTCTGGGTGATCAGTGCAGGCTTTGGGTGGTCAGTGTGGGCTCTGGGTGATCAGTGCGGGCTTTGGGTGGTCAGTGTGGGCTCTGGGTGGTCAGTGCAGGCTCTGGGTGGTCAGTGCAGGCTCTGGGTGGTCAGTGCAGGCTCTGGGTAGTCAGTGCAGGCTTTGAGCAGTCAGTGAGGGCTCTGGGTGGTCAGTGCAGACTTTGAGTGGTCAGTGTGGGCTCTGGGTGGTCAGTGCAGGCTCTGGGTGGTCATTGCCAGCTCTGGGAAGTCAGTATGGGCTCTGAGGTCAGTGCAGGCTCTTGGTGGTCAGTGCCAACTTTGGGTGGTCAGTGTGGGCTTTGGGTGGTCAGTGCAGTGGTCAGTGTGGGCTTTGGGTGGTCAGTGCGGGCTTTGGGTGGTCAGTGCGGGCTTTGGGTGGTCAGTGCAGTGGTCAGTGCGGGCTTTGGGTGGCCAGTGCAGGCTTTGGGTGGTCAGCATGGGCTTTGGGTGGTCAGTGTATGTTTAGGGTATTCAGTGCGGGCTCTGGGTGGTCAGTGCGGGTTCTGGGTGGTCAGTGCAGGCTTTGGGTGGTCAGTGCGGGCTCTGGGTGGTCAGTGCAGGCTCTGGGTGGTCATTATTGGCGCCGGGTGGTTAGTAGGGGCTCTGGGTAGTCAGTGCATGCTCACCAGGTATGCAAGGAGTGACGGGGTGCGGCTCCCTATTCAGACGGTGACCAGCCAAAATCAGGCATCAACGGCACTCTATTTAGGCATATTAGAGGGCCGCTCGCTGGGGCCTCTTTGGGCCCTAGTGAGGAGTGAGTGGCCCTCTAATATGCCTGAATAGAGGGCCGCTGATGCCTGATTGTGGCCGGTCACCGACCAAGGTACCAGGGAGATCCGGGTCGGCCAGGCATATTTGCAGGGAGGGCCTAGACCGGCAGCTCCACCCGCCCCTACGTTAATCCAGGCCTTCTGTGTATGTGTAAGAACCTAGCTACTGGATTTAAAAACGAATCCCCGAGTGTTCACTCAGTTTTACAGACTACTAATGATGTGTACATGCTGACATGCATTCAAAATAGACTCTTCCATTATTTGTGCCTATTACCCTTTAAGTATTTTGCTGTGCATATAAACAAAAAATTGTTGAAAAGTAAATAAAAACACAGACACCATAAAAAAGTTATTTATTAAAAAAGTAAAAGCACAGACATCTTAGAAAAAGTTCTTTATTAAAAAAGTAGAATCAACAATGTCACCCAATGTAAATACAATGTCAATAATGTTGTCAAGCAATGTAGATTCATTGTTTATGATAATAAGTGACGCCCGCACACCTGCTGACATGACGACCCATGCAAAGATGATCTTCTCCTGCTGCTATTCCCTTCACAAATGACAGCTTGATGGCCGGCTGCTGAAAATCAGCAAACTAGCTGGGCATCCCGGATAACATAATTGGCCAAATATCAATGTCCACATTTGGTCAATGTTGTCACTCGAGAAACCAAACTGGTTTGTTGACATTCAGCAGCTGGCTGGAGAGCAGTCATTTGAGACAGGAGTAGATCGTCAAATAGTGGGTCACCATAGCAGCAGGTCATCGAGACATCCCCATCATGATTGACAGTGGATCTACATTGCTGGATTTTTGGTAGAATTCACACGGGGGACATTGTTATTTTTTTCTTTTTTTAACAGAAAGTTTTCTACAGTGTCTGAATAAATTACTTTTTTTAATGGTGTCTGTGTTTTTATTTTGACTGTTTAACATTTTGAGTAACAAGGGGTGTTATGTGCTTCATACTCTTTCATGTAGGTAGTGGGCTACAATATCTGGGATCCCCTTATTTTAAAGTGGGCTTCCAGATTCTGATAAATTTCCCTGCAGACCCCCACATTCACTGGTCCAGGGATGTGGGGTTTAAGCCCTTGTTCCCATCAGCATAGGCAAGGTACTTTGCAGGGAGGAAGGCTTGCATCCCCCATTGCATGGTACTCTGCAATGTTAAGAGCCTGTAGTCTGGTATGGTTTAGGAGGGGGGGAAATGTTCGCTGCCCCTTTCCGGGCCTGCAAGGCTGCATGTGTGAATAAGAGTCTGGTATGGATTTTAAAGGAGGAACCCATGAAATTTTTTCTTAACGGGACAGTACCCATTGTTTAGAAATGTGTGGGGTCCCCCTAAAAATCCATGCCAGACTCTCATCCAGGCATGCAGCCAGGAAAAGGGGGGTAGTGAACATGCACCACCCCTTCTGAACCATGCCAGGCCACATGTCCTCAAAATTGGAAGGGTACCTTGCCATGGGGTGTAAAGCCATCCACCCGTCAAGGCACCTTATTCCTATTTTGATGCAGACAGGGGCCTCATCAACACATCCCTGTCCTGGTGGATGGGGGTCTGTGAGGGGGACTTTTCAGGATCTGGAAGCCCCTGTTGGAAAAAGGGATCCCCCCAGATATCCAGCTTGCCCCCTATATGAATGAGTAAGTGGTACATAGTAGCTCAGCTACTCATTTCCAAAAATTTAAACAATGCTCCTGAAATAAAGCAAAATGATGAAATGACACAATGACCTGCTGCAATAGCAATGCTCCCCAACCTCTATTCCCATCGCAAATAACAGTCACCAGCCAGGTGTCAAATGTAAACAAACCAGTTCTGGGATTC